TATGTTCGAAGATAGCAAGCAATTCATTATTCCTCTCATCATGAAATTGTAATCTAAAGTAAGACTACGATTAAATTAAAATTTGTTTATCATGTGCTTCGGCATCTCAAAGGAATGAGAAGTCTTAACGATGTGTGATCAATAACGCTTCCAGATTCATTTTCAAATGATGGAAAATGTTAGCCGATATGGAAATGGCTTATCAATTAGAGCTGTATCCAATAGAAACTGATCAGCGAAAGGCTAAAGAATATTCAAAATCAAGTAGCAGGAAAAAATATGCTATCGTTTCAATAAAGTTTCCTTTTGATATTGTGTCATCTTTCCTATTATCAGCTGCACTTAATTAGCACTTAGAGAGTTCTAACATCGAAACTGCCTTGAAAATTCTATACGAATAATATTATATCATCAGTAAAGGAATAGCAGACTCTCTATAAACACACAGTCAAAAAGAAATCCATATTTAATGAGATATTTAATGAACATTTGAGAACTCCTTTCAAGTAATAAAAATTTCAATATGAAGTTACCTTAACAAGGTTTGAACTGAAATAGGCCAGATGAAAACTGTCGACATCATTTCATTTCACAATAAAATCATCTAGCTAATTCTGAAATCACAGAGGAATGAAGAGAGGATGATTTTACAATTTCTAGCTTTTCAAAATGATCCATTGGAATTTTCAGTTCCACATGATGATGCAATTCAAATTATTTCTTCAAAAGGAAGAATAATTCCTGGATCAAACTGTGAGTGAAGGAGACAAAGAAATATGAAACTCTCTTATATGTAAATGATGCAAATAAGAAACATGTAAATATGTAAATAAGCAACAACAGATTTCTCAAAGCAGACATAAATTCTTGTCCCCACCGAATGCATTAAGCTGCATATTTATTTTCTTCCCTTTTTTTTTATAGAGTCAAAATACTAGTAGTGCTGAATGAGCACTATTTATAGTTCTTCTGCACTTAAAGATCAAAGAGATTTAAACAAAGAATCATCTGATGACCTTTTGATAAACCAATAAAACTATTCATAATTCCTTTAAATTCAAAAATCGGAAGTTTAAATAAACAAAGTTAATACAGAAAGAATCATTTGATAAACGAAGCTCATTAGTAGATAGCGAACTCTGAATGAAAATATCTTAGAAAAAAACAATTATTTTAGTATAGATTTCCACAATGTAGAAATTTCCTGATTGTTTCATCACCTTTTTTTTTTCCCCAATATTTTTAACTAATGGATCTGAAGAAGACTGAAAATGAGAGATCACAGATTTTGCTTCCACAAATTCTAAAAAATACTTCCCATTATGAATTCGTATAATATAGCTAGCTAATTTGCAAGTGCTCATCTTTGTCATAAACGATAAAAGAACGTTTTGAAATATGTAGATTGAAGATAGCAAGGATATAATTTCAATTTGAATTGTTACCCACAGTATATACCGTATCCTGCTACTAGCAAGTACGGTTTCACGAAAGTTTTTGTCGTGTAGAGAGAGCTAATAATTGAATCGCCACAATCAGAATCAAAGTGTTTATTAATTTGCTGTAGGATAAGCGAAATGTAATGCCAATTTGAAGTCGCACCAACCTATCGTTATCCCCTCGAGAGGAACACATCTCGATATCATCTGCTGCTATTCACCAACATGAACATATATATATATATATATGATAGGTGTCATAAAAGTTTTTTATTGGCTTTATTCTAATAGATTCTTATGAGATATTCAATAAAGGAATTGCAACTCTGTTGAAATGTTGGTCCTTTGATTATGAAATAAGAATTGAATTCTATTCCAATATGGTAGTTGGTTGTAGCAGAACGATGTGAAGACACGCGTTGAACTATACTTTACTGCGAGTTAAACCCACTCAGACTTGGGTAATTAAACCCATAGCAATAATAAAAGACGCATAATCCCAAAAGATTTGATGTCTTATATAGGTGTCTTATCCAACTTTTTTGACGTCTTAATATAACGAATGAAGCATGAATGAAGATTTGATGTCTTATATAGGCAAAGTATACGTGCATATTATAGCGCGGGAAAATGAGGAGAGATATTGGAGGATATAAGAGCAAGGGAGATCATGTAATACAAATTGGAGGGAAGGATGGGAACGCATATGCAAGTACAAAGTGAATCATTTGACTGTGCTATTTGGTTTAAACAGGAACATTATCATTGACGCTATGAACATGCATTAAGACAGAGTAATACTACATCTATGAATATGTGTGTATATATAAATATACTTGACCATTTATAATATTCTTGAAATTTCGCGACTTTCGCGACAATAGGCACTATCACTACCATACTAACATGTATAGCATGCGGCATCGAGACCATCTTTATGCATACAAAATCTGGCGGATATTCCGGATAGAACGAATAGATAAATACATGATGGATATACAATCGATAATGTCGGGATTTGACAATATTATAGCATAAAACCAAAAAAGACTAAACAAAGAAGATGGAGGAGCATTCATTTGTAACAGTATGCTTTGTTACGTGTGTGTGTGTGTGTGTGAGAGAGAGAGAGAGAGAGAGAGAGAGAGAGAGAGAGAGAGAGAGAGAGAGAGAGAGAGAAGATCATAAACGTGGGAATATTGGAGACGTCGCTAAATGGCATACCATTATAAGGCAAAACAATGTTATAAAACGGAAATTAAATACAACTATAAATTGTACTGACGAATTTCTTCTTATCTAAATGTCAATTATACAAATTTCTATTTATCAACGAAAATTTGTATCACTAAAGTTCGGATTTCCGTACATACGGATTCCTTGGCGTATGAGTGTTACATCCGCTAATTACATATAAATTTTTTTTTCAGCACTTGAAATTTTAATTGTAATATAAGCATTGAAAAATGACCAAGTTGTTGGTTGGTCAAAAAATTATTTGAATTTTTGAAATTCAAATTACAATCAATGATCTATATTGAAGTGTTTCGATCAAAAAATGATATCCTTATCAGTAACTAAAAGGTCATTTCTGGATTTAGAATTATTATTTAGTCTTCACCATCCGGGATATAGTTTATTTTTTCTTTTGATATATTTATTATCTGGTTTTTTCGTTTTTCCCACCCCATATGACAATTTAATTCAAATTATGTATACATGAAAATTGAAATTAAATAAGTCTTTCTTTGGTTTTTTATCATTTTATGATAATAATTTCAAGGACAGATTTTTTTTTAAAATAAATTTCTAAATTACAATCTGCAATTTTTGTTCACTGAAAATTATTAATGTGAAAATCGCAATAATTAACAAATAGAAGAAGAAAAGATAATAATGTTTGTACTTTCGATTCGAAAATTCAAGAGTTAAAATCAATTTTTTTTAAATGGCATTAAATGATCAGATATTCATATAATGAGAAAATCTCTTTAAGTCTTTTAAAATCTCTTGACTACAAAATTTACCTCAAGCTTATCCATGTAAGCCTTTTTAGAAAACACAAGCAATATTATGAATTGTTTCTTCTTAGGAAAGAAAGAGAAAGGAGAGTAATTTATTGATAAAAGCATTGTTACAATTTTAAAAATAATCATCCAATTAGATTAAAAATATCAAATTTGATTGCAGTAGAAAATAAAATCCATCCTTGTAGTTCCTCATTGATTGGTTCACAAACATTTATACTGCGATTTAATTCTAAATATTCTTTCAGCAGCTCAGAAAAGATAAGAATTGTAATTATTACATGTCATTATTAGAATTTGACAATTTTATGTCATGCCTTTAGGCTCCCTCTTTTCTTTCTCTTTAAAATCATACAATGATGAAAGAAACATGAAATCATCTGAGCTCCATCGATTGAAATATTATTTTTGCGAGCAAATCCAATTTCCACAATCTTGTAATTCCAAACAGGTTTCATCTTTTCTTCATTTATTGGACAATTGTCAAATTTAAGCTTGCATTCATTTCAATAATATCTATTCAAATTAAAATTTTATTCATTGAATTTTAATTGTACTTGCTGAATCCTTTCAAAATATTAAAAAGCATATTGAAATAATTTTTTGATTATTTTTAATCCATATCTTTGATGTTGATAAAATTTTAAATTATTTATTATAATTAATGGAATTTTTTTTCTAATTCTTTTGAAAGTTTCTATAAAGTCCTTTTTTTCACTAAGATTACAATAGCATTAGAGATACGAGGTGAGAAAACAAAAATTTGTGAAAAATTGGTTAATTAATAGAAAATAATGTTTTTTTTAATTTATTGCTCTTCCATAAAATTTATGAGCTTTTTTTTAAATTTGAATCAATTTGATCTGTAAATTTTCAAATAAGTCTATCAGCAATGATTATAATAGTATCATTTACTGTATTCGTAATATGAACTCGGGGAAATTAAATATCAAAATACCGGTTTTGATTTTGTTTAAAAAAATGTAACCTATTTATCAGAAAATGACTTGAATGGATACTTTTTTGTAAAGATTGGTATGTCATTCTAAATCCCATAATCGCTAAAAATGTGAAAAATCTCTTGAACAGCAGCATTCTCAACCTTTTATTTAATGGATAATTAATTTTAAGAAATTGAAGAGTATTACTGTAAAATGTAGGTTTGTTCAAAAAGTCGCTTACGATAAACGTGAACAATTTTGTGACATAAAAAGAAATGATTTAAGTTTTCCAGTATCACAAAATTTATTTCATCTATTTTTCAGTCTATTCGAGAACTAAATTCATCAAGCATAACAATGATATATTTATATAAACGATTATAATATTAAAAGTATAAGCAAATTTCTATTTTTGCAACAACATTATAAAGAATGGGATATTTTATTTATTCAATTAATCATTTTTTTTGAATTCATCCATTTTTGTTGTATTGGATTTTAAAGAAAAAAAAAATCAGAAAAAATTTAAAATCTTTAATAAAAAAAGAAGAAAAGTGGCTAAAGAAGGATTAAATTCTAAATTTTAGTGTTAATCATCGAGGCCAGAACACATCAATCTCATCCATCCAACTCATTTTGATCTTTCCAACATTATCATTATCATCATCATCATCATCAACTACAACAACATTGATGAGAATAACTATTATTATCCTACTATTGGTAGAGGAAGAGGGGGAGGTTATATTTTTATCCTTTTGACTCTGTTAATCTAAATCGTTAAAAATGGAAGAGGGAATTGTCGGGTCACTCACCGATCAGTCGATTCGGGTTGAAATGGGCGGGGAAAGATGGCCCATTTGCTGAGAAAGTAATAACACCGTTAAAGGTTTTACCCCTCAGGGCCGTCGCGGTGATTTTGTCATCAACCAAACGACCAAGCGACCGACCCATCGATAGACAGAGATGACAGTTGCTGAATTTCTGGTGTATGTCGTAAGGTTCGTGTGTATGTTTGCGGTAGATGAAATGCCGATGTGATGTGTGATAGTGGTCATCAACAGTAGTAGCAAACAGTTCTTCATAAAAATATTATTATGATTCTGTCATCGTTGTCGTTATCGTTTTCATCAATTTTATTGTTATCATCATCAACAACAGTACAATTTCCGGAAAGGAGAATATTTTTAACTGTACTTCTAATTTTACCATCATTATGTTTGGGCACTGTTACCCAATATCCGCGTATTCAATTAAATTCTAGTGCAGGTGCACAATTACCAAATATTACTGGTCATAATTTAAGTACCGCTTCTAAAACAATAATCAAAAATCGAAATTCAATCATACGCCAATATCATTGTCCAAGGAATACATTTCGATGTGGTGATGGTTCCTGTATTCCTCAAGATTGGATCAATGATGGTGAAGTAGATTGTGATGATTTATCAGATGAGAAGAAGATCCAGTCAACTAGATCCGATCTAATTCAACCAACTATACTCAGTGAAACTACTGAACATCGGACTACCATCGAAGAAACTTTCGATGATCCATTCGATCATGTTGTAACATTTTCATCCATCGATCAATCACCTTTCTCGATCTCACCATTCGTACGACATAAAGAAACAAAAAGTTTTTCTTCATTAAATCATGGTTGCTCGAATGCTATACAAACACGCGTAAATCAATGCTCCACAGATCTTACTGATTGGGTCAATAATTTGGATCAAATTGATTTAACAAATTCATCCATGCTAAATGATGAAACAAGGTAAAAAAAATAACAGATCTTATCTTTATATCAATTGATCAATTAAGTTTTTTGTTTTCATTCAAAACTATTATAAACGATTAATTTTTGAATGTAATTATAATATATTCGTTTTTAATTTTCCTTCAATTTTGTAAATTCAAATTTTAGTCCTATGTAAATTCGAATTTTAATCCTCAAATCTTACCAATTCTCATGATTTTTTGATGGATAAATGGAACACTTTTGAGGAAATTATTACCATTTTTCAAAAAAAGCAAAATAAATATAATTGAATCATATATATTAGTTAGAAAAAAATCTTTTTTAAATCAGTTGAAATCATTCATTTCTCAAATAAATGATTCGAAATATTTCAAATCCAAAATAATCAAACACTCCAATAATTTTTTTTTCAAACTTATCAAATAACTTTTTTTCAATATTCAAAATAATCAAATATAACTGACTTAAATAACTTTTAAAATAATTCAAAATAATCAAACAATAACTTTTTTTTTTCAAACGACACAGTACGTTTCGATAAATTAAGCATTAATTAATATATTATGTAACGAATAGCAGAAGATTGTAGACGAAAATGAATTTCTTTAGGGCTATAAATATTTGTTTGTTGTGCAATATTTCCCTTAAAAAAATTTCTATCCTTTTTGTTTAAATTCATTTCAAAAAAAAGACGATGAAAAAAAATTCCGCTTTATTTGCGACAAATTTTGCGATCTTTTTGTTTGTTTATTTTGTTAAATGCATGTCCGTCAAATAAAACTTTTTTATCATTTTATTATTTGAAAAGTTAAACTTTTATCTTTTCACTCTTTTCTGGCTCTTAATAAAAAATTCTGAAAAAGGTTACCAAGAAGAAGAAAAAATAGATTTGCTTGAAATATAATGAAAAAATAACAACAATATAACTATTTTATTTTAATAATGAAAAATTAGATTATTTGGAACAAAAAGGAATGAATTGAATTCTTAAAAATGGCAATTGAATTTAAGCAAAACAATTATGTTAATGATCACATCGAGAAAAAAGTTACATTTGCATTTTGATTGAATTCATCCATTTACAAATTTTTCGTAATTTTTTTTTCAGAGATTTTTTTTTCTTTGTCAGTTCTTTTATTCGTGAATTATTATTAATTATAGCTTCCTTATAACTCTATTGCATAATAAATTATCTGACCAACTTGTCATAATATTCAAATTCATTCATTTATTTCTTTAAT